CTTGAGGCAGCTGGTGTTGAACAATGACGCCGGACAAAGCAATAGAGGGCGTCGGATGGCAGAGACGACTACATGATATGTGCCGACAAATGGCATAATAAAATATGGAGTTGCTTCTTTCTTTGTGAGCGAAAAAATGGCTCCGAGACCGACTAAGAACTATCCGCAAAGCAATTTATTAGATAGTAGTTAGTTCCCGTAGATGGCACATGGACAACTAAATGAGACTGGAGAGCTCCAATGACATTTTTATTTCCTACTGACTTTGGGGCAACTGGCGAGCATAAGGTAGACTGGCAAGTTTCTTTCGAACGTACAAAATTCCTCAACTTTTCGACAAAATTTCTAAAAGACTGTTTCGGACCTAGCTATAACTCAGCCTTCAGGTAATAATTACCGCATGTAGGGCAAATTGAGAACATTTTCGTAGACTGACTCGTCACGATGAGAATGGTGATCAGTCTTACTGCAGACAACTCGGTGAAGATCGACCGCAGACGTCGTGAATGCTTCGCGCATCCGCACAAGTTTCGCTCTTCGTGTTTACGAAATCCACCATGCATGAGTGCATGCGCATGTGCCGATATGAACGTACGAATAATCAATAAAGCGCCAGTCTACACAAGCTATTTGTCGGAACCGCAAGAAGCACGGTTACTGGCCGAATAGCCGTCAACAAATGTGTTGTCTTGAGAAAAGCTGTGAGCGAGCGTCGGATCTGCAGAGATCCCGTATAGTATTTGCGTTCGCTGTAGTCCAGGCACCAGTGTGTACAGTTGCGAGCAGCGTCCAATTGTTTACTCGTTTGTTTGCCTAGGCAGAAGTAACAAAAACGTTCTGTCTTTTCCAATGTTACTTAGACTCGGAAAGCAAACAGTAGCATGAAATCGAGCACGTCAGTTGAGTATAAAAGGGAGAGGATTTTGTGTGGCTGCATCGTCAACTCAAACAAGGCATCGCAATGAAACTTCTTCTGACTGTGCTGCTTCTCGGACTTCTGCTGCAAGTAACCCTGGCGAAGAAGAAACCTGAAGAGAAGGAGGAGGAGGATGAGACGAAGGAGGTGAGTGCGGCGAAGGAGGAGAAGGAGGGTGCAGTGTCTCCGGCCTGTGGCGGTTGGTGGGGAGGCT